TAGCAACTTGGGTTCAAGTTGCCCAGGGGCCGGAGGCACGGTAAAGGGGTGAAAAGTGATGGCGATTCTAGGGGCCCTGACCAGCAGGGGGGGCCTCCACAATTTAATTATTTATATTTTGTTCACAGACATAAAATAAAAAAATTGGGGTCCTGTCAAATGCAAAATTTATCATATTGTATCATATTGTATTTTCAAAAGGCTGTTTTTAGCAGTAAAAATTTAATGTTGCCCCTCCCAGACCAAAAAACACACACCCGATTTTGCCCTGAACCCCCTATCTACGTTAAATGATTCGTTCCTGCTTGGAGCGCTTAACAGTGACATATGCAGCTACAGTCAGTAGAAGATGCAGCTGAATACAGCAGTGACTGTGGCAGTTACTATGCTGCTAAGAAAAGTTATAAAATCAGGTTTTCAAACAAAAAGAGAGGGAGAGAGAGAAAAAGGCAAGAGTGTTAATTTATAACCCAGTTTTTCTCCGAGAGGTGGGTAGGCTGTATGAGATCAACCATTTAGCATAATTAGCTTAGCTACAGACTACTGTTTGCCTCATTTTCACTAGCATTTAATGAATTAAGGAAAAAAATTACCAACTCGTATATTTAACTTGTTCCCTGTGCCACTTAACAGATGAGTGAGTGAGCAGAAGCTCTAACCCACGACCCTCCTGACCTGTTCTCTCCTGAGTGAAATTAAAGCTGCAGTATGTCACTTTTATATAAATATTTTTTTTTNGCATTAAGCCTCAGTTGCCTCAACAAATTTTGCTAAAACTGCTGAAAGGTCTCAATTGCTATGCCACATAGAGCTATTTCCATTTTGTTCTTAGACGAATAGTTGTTTAATTGGAAAAATGTTACCCTTGTTTTCTTCTATAGCTTATTTATATGTATTCTGTTGACCAGCCCAGCCACACACATGGACGACTGATGGTTTTTGTTGTGGTTCTTGTGGTAATCCTCTGCATTAGGTTAGCTCATTTGACAGCGCAAAGGTTGCATTGAAATTAGATGCAGTGCCAGTAACCATCTTCAAATGAACCAAAGCTATTTGAAATATGAGACGTCCTAAACAGCTGCATAGCTGTGAGCATGTCTAACGTGGACTAAACGATGCATGTAGACTGTGTCGGAATTATCCTTTGTTATTTCTGGTAAGAGAGCATACTGTAAAAATAATTACTGCATGAAGACACATTGAAAGCTTCTGTAATAGTAGGTAGCCCTGCGTCTTAACTTACCTGTAGATACAAACACGAAGGGATAAGGAGGAAAGGACAGTAATGAATTAAATTATCTAGCTGCAGGCTTTGTACAATTGAATTTGAGATTACTTTGATTTAGTTATGAGAGTAGGTGGATATATTGAGTGTGAACTTGGTTTGAGTTCAGGGTGTCCCAGTTTGTTAATGCATGTGTAAAGGTATAGCTGCGTCTGCTGGACCTGGTGTTTGGGTAGGTGTAGTGAGTGGGTTGGATCCTGTTGTATAAGTTTAGGAGATCTGTAAAAGAAGCAAGGTTAGCGTAGGTGGGTTTGTGTTCAGGGGCTGTGGCTTTTCGGCTGATTCATACTGACTGGAAATTAGCTTGGGACATGCTTGCTTGGTTTTGTTTTCCCTTTGATGTGGACTCGTATTGCATGAACTCAGGTCTTAGTTCTTTGTGCAATAGGCTGTAAAAATATTTATATTTTTTCCAAGTTTCGTTGTGTTGCAACTGTGGATTTTTAGGGGGATTGGATGTTATATGATGAACATAAATTAGTGTAGAACTTTGAGGTGGAAGGATATCTAGTTTAGATGTTTTTTTTATGAATAAAAATTGTAAAGTTTTACCATAAATTTGCTTAAGTCAACATTTCTTGTAGTTAGAATTTTTGTTCATTTGGGCTATGTTGATCATCTTTGCACATGTTCAGAGTTAACTATTCAAGTCTTGCCACATACTCTGAATAGGATTGGAAATCTGCACTTTGACTGGGACATTCTAGCGGTTGATTGCTTTATATTAAATCTGCTGCAGCTCAGACTGTATGCTCAAGTTTATCCTTCTTAAACGTTTGATCTAGTTTTCTTTTTTCCTACCGATGAAATGCGATCTCAAAGAATGATAATGCCACCACCAGGTTTTATTGTGGGAATGATGTTTTCAGGATGACATGTTCAACATGTTTCCCCTTATAAGTCTTGTTTGGCAAACTGTGAACAAGACTTATCACTTTTTTTTTTATATTAGATTTCTTGCCCGTCTCTCAGGAAGACCTGATTCATGGAGTTGGAAGATCTGCATTTGCGCCATGCTTTTTCGCTAAAGTCAACAGTGCTCTTTGAGATGTTCAAACCTTGGGATATTGTTTTATATCCTAATCTTATTTCACACCTCTTCATAGCTTTTTCCCTGACCTGTCTGCTTGGTCTTCGAATAAACATCTGAGGCTGTCACAGAGCTGCTGGATGTATACTGCGATTAAAATACACAGTTCAAGTGGTACCAATACTTTTTTCAAGGCACTGGATCTGTTCAGGAAGGGGATTGGTTGCAAAAGCGTGCGTGTTTGTTGCCGGATTTTCCTTTTAGCGTAGCTATCCGCTCATCGGCTCATCACAGTATTACGTTGAGATAACACTCAACACAAAAATCGGTGCAGCTTCTCAACACATAGAAACGGATTACCTTGGATTATTTATTCAGCAGGAAGAGCCACGTAAAAATCTCTTTCTCAGACATACTCCTTCATGTGCTTTGCACCATAACAGGCACATCAGTAGCTAGAGAAAGACTGACACATCAGTGATTTGTGTGTGTCCGTGTGTGTGTGCGTGTGTGAGGGGAAATGCAAGGGCCCATGTGTGTTTGCAACATACTTATTGGATGCATTGGGGGATTCAAACTGGATTGTAAGTTACTCTAAAAGATCACATGTGGCCTTATTGACCTTTGTGTGTGCGCGCGTGTGCGTGTGTCTGATGTGGTTTACATGTGTGTGTGTGTGTGTTTGTGTTAACCTCAAGAGAGTTACATCTCAGTTATATCTGCAACGTCAATCCATCATGCTCATTACCATATGATTTGGCTTTGATTAGCATTTCTATTAATATGGAAATGCAACATCGCCAACACTGAACCCAGACGAGACAGCCTTTTACACTGACTCTTACTCGTACGTACACACACACACACACACCCCCCCACACACACACACACACACACACACACACACACACACACACACACACACACACACACCTGATAATAAAAATTGAAGGAAACTCTTGACTTTCTCTCAAGGGATTGTTCAGGGGTTTAAAGACTGGTAAGCAGACATGATTGGAATGTAAAGTTGTTGTGGCGTTAAAGTTCTTTTCGCTGGCTCGTTATTTATAGCTTAAATTTTCAGTGAGCCTATGTGAAATAAACTTAATATAAGAGTAAGACAACTGAAAGGTCACACTTAAGCTGAATATTAACTTCAAGTACGGATATAGCTTGCACATACGTCAGGTGTGAGTTGATATACATACATAGTCTACATTGGTAATAAGTGTTGAAAACGTCATACTAGTGACAAAATTGATAACTCTTGTGTACCAATTTAGTTCATGTAGCACCTTGCACTTCAGAGTGCACTTCAGCTTGAAGGTGTTTTAAAAACTGTCAGAGAACTAATGAGATGTTGTTGCAATCACCTCTCTGAATAAATAGCTTGTATGTTAGAAAAAACTTCAACATTAAATAAAAACCCCAGCTTGCTGAAGCTATTTTAACTATGCATTGCTGTTGAAACACAGCAAATTATAACCATGTTTTACTATTGAAATTGGCAGTTATTTTTACCCCGTATTTTGTGAGCCACTATCTGAAGAGTAGAGTCACACAATACAAGTTGCTTGAGGGCGACTGTGACCCCCAACACCTGCGAAATACAGACGGTCAACTCTGCTGTGAAGTGCAAGAACATATTTTCCAATGATTTGACATTTTTGAGTTAAAAACCTTTTTTGTTCTACACAGTATTATAATTTTCTTACACACTGGGTTTTATTTAGCTGTTAAAAAGTCAAACTAAAAGAAACAAACGCATAAGACATCTTCAAATAGATTCTAATTTATTGAGATTCAACTGTGTGCCAGTTAATGTGAGTTAGTAAAAATAGTGTTACAATTTACATATAATGATATATTGGAGATAGACCTTTATGTCCACCTATAACATTTGATCATTTTTCTCAGTCTCCAAGTGAAGAAAAAAATGAAAAATGCTTCTGTTGCAGAAGATGAAGTCATGTGAACAGACATCTCTCTAGGGCTTAGGCCTATATATGAGATCTTTGAGAGCCTTCTGGCCACTTGGAAACACATCTGCATGCTTACACTTCCTGCTCATAACCTCGAGAAACCTATGTGGGCAGAAACAGAACAAACGAGTGTGAAATTTGAGAAGCAGCAAGGTGTTTCACTGCTTCAGGTGTTGTGAAGATCCTGTTTCATCTTCCTCTATTTTATCTGGTTTTATTTGTTTATGCCGTGACTTCCTTCAGCAGTTAATAGCAGCCTGATGAATTCCAGGCAAATGGTAGATTATTACATTTTACCCCCTTCCCCTCCTTCATACAGGTGGCTTCACCGTCTGCATTTTGTTTCATATGCATTTGCTGTAACCTGGCTACTGTAAACATTAGCAAATCACACTGCAAGACTTTTTCGTTTAAGCACAGTTGCCTGTGCAAATAATTTTTTCTAAAATGTGGGAATGGATTTTGACCTATGTGCAAGGATGCTACACCACAGCAGCCAAGGCTAGTCATGGCAAATGATTATTATGTTGTAAAATTTAACAGCTGCCAACAAGAACAAGCCAGTAAAGGTCAGATTAATACTCTTGTGTATGTTGGAGATGTGCACGAACCACTCAGGTCTGACACCTAACATCTGAGCTGCTTCTCTCTTAACCCTTCCTACCCCCGTTTCTTATCCCCATCTGCCCTTTTCTCTTCTCAGTTAAATGAAACGGCAAAGCAGCTGATGGAGATTGACAAACCTATGCCAGCGAATGCACCAGGTCCCAGCTCTGAGCCAGCCCCCCTGGGTCCCTGCACTCCCGGTCCCTCCCCCAGTGCGTCGCCGTCTAATGGAAATGGCTCCGGCCACAGGAGAGGTGAAGGGAAGAAAAACGCAAAGAAGCGCCATTCTTTCTCCGCGCTCTCTGTCAGCCAGAGGGCTGCCCAGCTCAACAACAGACACAGCATGGAGATCTCACACCCGGTCCTCATCAGCTCCTCTGACCCCAGAGCAGCTGCTCGCATTCAGGTATCTCCACATACTGGAATGTGCACAAAACATAAATTAGCTAAGGGAACACACCTAGGGTATACAGCTGAAACCAGATATTTATATACATCAAATAAAAAATTAAAAAAAAACATTTTTTTTTTCTTGCTCTTCTGAAGTTAAGTCCAACCAAGCTTCTGTTGTTTTAGGTCAGTTTGAACCACCAAAATTATTTGTATTTGCTAAATGCCAGAAAACCTAATAAGAACATTTTTGAGAGATTTGTTTTAACCTTCTTCAAATTCAAAAGTTTATACAGACTTGGTCTGATTTAACTTCAGACAATGAGAGAAAAAAAAAATGTGTATGCATCTTATTGGTCTGTAAATCTCTGATTTCAACTCTCAATACACTTTGATGCAAACCATTTCATTGTAACTCCACACTCTCCAACAGGTTTTCTTCGAGTATTATCTATAATTAACTAACCAACTTGCCTCTCTCCACTGGAGAAAAAAGCAGGTCAGATGGATCTAGTGAGATCAAAACTGGGATCAAAGTATAATACTGCCCCCGCCGTGTTTCACAGTGAGCAAGGTTGTGTGCAGTGTTACCTTTCTGCCACACAGCAATTTTACATGTAGGTCAAAATATCAATTTTTGACCTCACTAGACCCATCTGACCTGCTATCTGTTTGGTGTGTCTCCTGCACGGATTTGACAAAAGCAGTAAACTGAACTTTTTCTGAACATGGCCATTGGTTGCCTTTGATTTTAGGTATTAGAGGAAACATAACGAATGCAAAACTGTTGACAAGGTGTGAACACTTACGGCAGGCACTGTGTAAGGCAGGGACTTTTATTGGCATCATAAAGTTATGCTTTTAAATATAGTTTGTTTTATTGTAATATATATAGTTTCTCAATATAAAAAAAAAAACTGTAAGGATACCAAGGAGTAGGTGGTTTAAAATTTAGCATTAGAATAGAATAGAACATAAATATCCTTTGTTGTCCCACGGTGGGAACATTGTGGCATACCAGCTGTACGCTAAAGGTAAATACAAGCATGCATATTCAAACTAAGGTAATAAGTATAAAAACAGAAAGATAAGATAAAGAGATTGTAACTAAGGGCAAATTACCATTTCTAAAGCATATCAGTTCCTCTGCTGCTCTGCATTTTGCAATGAATCCCCTGTCACCTACTTGTTTCAACTGAAAAAAAAAAAAATCATTTCTCACTTTGAAGGCTTCTGTTTGGAGTCATGTCGCTTTTACTGTTATGGCTTCTGGCTGCATTTCTCACTGAGTTCAAAGTGCTTTTGCTGTTTGTAAATAGTTCCCAGGATGCTTAAAAGCCTACAAGCACATTTTTTAGGTAACAGTTTACATTAAACCGATGTTTTTCTGTGTGCTGTATCTTCCTGTAGGATGCATCTCCTCCAGGTCCCTCTCCATCCTCAGTGGGGATACCGCTTCCCCCCAAAGTGGCGTCTCTTACCTCTGAGCTGTTGGCTCATGCCAAGGTGCAGCTGCCGCTCAACATGTGAGTACTTAAGGCTTCTTCTCACTTGCCCGTTGTATATGTGCCAGATGTACAAGCAAGATTTCACAAACTACTTCCTGACATTGTTAGAAATGTTGACTCTGTTGTGCCCAGAGCTATTGGCCATGTTCCACCACCTCTGCAACCACATTTACTCCTTCACCGGTCAAGGATGAAATCCCTCTTCAGAGAGGAAAAACACAGTTCACTAAGCTGTGTGTGGCTTGGATTTTTAACAAGCTTTACCATTTCTAAAAATTAAGACACCAAGAACTCTGACAGCGGGCTGTTCATGTTTTTTTTTTCTAGTGTTGATGGTAGACTTTTGGAGTAGTGTGGAGATAAGAAATGACACACTGGACTAAATTAGGCACATCTTAATATGATTGAAAAGTAATCTTGTTTCTGTAATTCAAGTCCGGACTTATATATATTGTAAAAATGTACCTGTCCGTTCATAGATATTTTTTTGTCATTCACCATTTAGATATTTCAGATTATCAAACTAAATGTATTATCAGACAAAGAGAAACTAAGTAAATGCCAAAAGCATTTTAAGGGGAAAAAAATAAATAAACTGGCCTGGCTCTATTGGAAAATCTATCAGCCCACTGTAGATGTAATTATTATAGTGCCATCCTTGTCAGACCCACCTGCTGTCAGGCATTTCCAATATCAAGCAATGAGTTTATTACTGCACTGTGAAGGAATGTTGGCCCCCTTAACTTTACAGAATTGTGTTAATTCCTCCACAATTCGGGGTTTTCAAGCACAATAGCCTAGTTAGACCATGTTAATGGATTTCAGTGAGATTAAAGTCTAGACTTTGACTAGGCCACTGCCATCTGCCATATTATCTTGAGATAACTTTCTTTTTCTGTAGTGCTGTTAGTTTTACATCAGAAGTATGCTTTAGAAGTGCACAACTTTTAAAGAATACAACTTACATTTCATCAGAATTTCTTTCTTTAAATCTTGGGCTTCAGCAATAGTTTGGGGAAAAATCAGAAACAAATTTATTCTCTTCTTGAGTTTGTTTAGATCATTGCATGATGTTTTGCGTTTCAAGATTTGTTAACCTTCTCTATTTAAGTGATTTCTTCACAACTGTTGTGACTTTAAACTCACATATAGTCAGCTTGGTTTGGGTATTTCTCTTGATTAATAAACCCATAACTTCAAACCCATTTTTTTTAATTTAATTAATTAAATTTAAAACCGATTTAACTGGGAGTAAGAAACTATCACAAAAGAAACAAAAAAATCAGGTCATACTATTTAAATCCCATTTGCTGATTAGACACTTTTACCAAGCACTTGCAAACTCTTCTCATGATCATAAACAAAGGTGTGTTTTTTTAGATTTAGCTTCAGGGTTTGTTTCACTGAACACATAAAAGCCCAGACTCTGAGATCTGTGAGTCTACAACATCATCACCATCGTTCGGACGGGATGTGATTCAAATCCAGCAGCATTGTCGGCTTTAATAATATCACCTTCCCAGTAGCTTAATAGGAACACAAGCACACACACACACAAGTACACGCACGCACACACCTGCACACACACATACCAAAACAGAATGGCTTTGTCCCACTGATGAGGTCCTACGTTTTCATCTTGACCTGGCAACTATTCCTGTTGCCAAGGGGAGACGGGAGACAGTCCCCACATCTGTTGCCATAGTAACGAGGAGGTAGCACATATATGGCTTGTTTACTCTGCGATCTCATCCAGTCTGGCGCTATGGACTATAAATGTCTCCCGGAGACAGGTCCATGAGCTCATTTATATGTTTACACAGGGGGCAATTACTGACTTAGTCATATCCATCTAAGAACAAAAGTATATAAATATAAATATATATATATATGAACTACATTTATCTTCTGAACCGGTAAACAAGCACTTATTGATCAGGCATGCATTTATAGCAAGCCTTCCCATTCAGGAAGCAAAACTATTCAGTCAGCCTCAAGTGATCACACACACAGAGACATGACCTGAATGCTGGATTGGTTTGTTATTTTTAAGTGGAGACAGACAGCTTGCACTCCTAACCTAAGTTGAAGAATATGACCCTCTGCTGTTGTTCTGTAAATATGGATTTTTGGATGCAACAGTAGTCCAAATATAGTTATTTCCCCAGCATATTTGCCAAGTATATTCATTGAGAATTGATTTTTATCTTTTCTAACGGAAAATATATATAAAAAAAAACAATTTAAAAACACATGAACATCTGAGCAACAGACAGGAAGTATTTCATCACAATGAACAATAATTGGTGGGAGGTTCAAACCAAAATGTTTGTCTTTGTATGCTGACAAAGATCCAGTTCTGGCTGAGAATGTCTTTGTGAGCATCACAAAGGCGAAGTCATTCAGGACAGACAGACAATAAGTGGCGCTCAGTTGTCTGTGAGCTTGAATTGCTTGACTTTGAAGTCTGCAATGAACTATTGATAATAATGTACTTGTAAAGCTGCAAGATTTCTAAAATAATTACTGTCATGTTAATTTTGGTCATGATTGAAATCCTGAAAATTAATAAAAAATTTCTCCCTAAGCTTAGAAATGCATTGCATTTATCGTGCTTATGAGGGATAAATGTAAATTTTCTCCAAAATTTGCTTTTCTATTTATAATTTTCTGAATTTTGTTTTTGATAATGTAGGCCTTCACCTTAAAATTGTCTAATTATGTAATTAACCCCAACCAAGCCCCTAGGCTACCGAAGATTTGCACTGCTGGCCTGGCAGTGCAAATCTATTATCTCTCAGCGTTTTTGTGATTTTTTTTTTCTTTTTGAGCCAAAAATCTGAATAAAAATTTGTTGATTTAGTTGAATTAGCTTAATTAGTTGCACAGTCCTTGCTCACATTATTACTTACTCATTAACAAATACTTCCCATCTTATTTTGGATGTTGGCAAAAATAGCAATTTCTTTTTTCCTTTTGGAGATTATATTCCTGTTTTCTTTGAGCCATCTTGATGATACCACAAATTGCTTAAGCTTGCATGTGTTTTTCTTAATTCTGGCAATTAGATTTTAATCAGATCATTAGATATAGATGCATGATTTCAGATGCCCGCTAAGAGATTTGCAAACATTGATGAATAATTCAATGTTTTTACTCAATTTTACAATAAATTTACATCCTACTGCCTTTCTTGTCCAGATATTTAGCTCTATACGCCTACAAGCCCCAGAAAGCTGACGAGCTGGAGCTAAGGAAGGGGGAGATGTACCGAGTGACAGAGAAGTGTCAGGATGGATGGTTCAAAGGCACCTCACTAAGAACTGCCGCCTCTGGAGTCTTTCCAGGAAACTACGTCACTCCCGTGTCCAGGTTAGTGGAGGTTAGACAAAACAGCAGCGATATTTTGTCTTTATGATATAAAGATAAAACAGAAATAGTTTTGATAATTGATGCCTAATGTTCAGTATTTCTTATTATTTTGGCCGTCTTGAGAGGGAATGATCTGTTGAAAAGAATTGAAGAAAAAATTACTGAAACTGACTATTACTAAAATTGGTCTTGGACAAATAATTTTCCTTATTGTTTTTTTGTTTGTTTGTTTGTTTTCATATTTGTTGTAATTCCACTTAAAACTGAATTCTACAAATTAAAGCAGTGCAACGATTTGGCACATAAAAGTTTAATTAAAAATACCTGAAGAAAAATTGGTTTTAAAATGTAAAATCATTGCTGTAAAATGCATACATTTTGCTACGGTACAACCACAAACTTTAATGTAATTTGCTTGATTTATACGTGGTTGGCCCACACAAAGTGATAAATATTTGTTAATTAGAAAGAAAATAACTCAAGGGTTTTGAATTATTTGCAGTTAAAATCTGAAATGCCAATTTGGATGTGATACCTGTAAATAAAATCCAGTAGAAATGGACAGAGATGCCACAACTACCGAGAAATGGCCATTCTTCTAAACTCACAGGCAAGGTTAGGAAAGCAGTAATCAAGAGACACAGCTGAGGGAAAATCTGTTAAAAGAACAACTCTCAGTCTTGCACTAGAAAAGCACACTATCTGTAATAGTGGTAAAAAGACAGCTTCTGTTGGAAAGATAAGGGTGATGAAGGTGTTATAGTCAGAAAACTACATGACTCACTAATGAGCAGATAGATGGGACTAAATATGGAGCAGTACTGGAAGAAAGCCTGTCACAGACTGCTTGACACTGGGCTGGAGGTTCAGTCTCAAGAAACAAGGATGCCAAACATGCAGCCAGAGCTAACCTGGAATGTAGCTCTGGCTGTATGTTGGATCAAAGTATGTCCTTGAGTTAGACTGGCAAAATCTAAGTCCAACTTAAAATCCAGTCTTTGGCAAGACTTGAAAATTGCTGTTTACTGTTGTTCTTGGACCAGTTTGATCAATTCACAAGAAATTAGAATAAAATCCATTGAAGTTTTATATTGAAACCTCTCAAAATGTAAGGACTTGTCTTTTACAAGGAATTATAACACATCCAAGCTTAAAGAGCAGTTCAGGTGTTTTATTTAAAGGTGACACATTTAAAGGCGGTCGTTGTAAATAGGAAAAACGCAGGGAAAAGGGATAGATATAGAGATAGATCAAATGTGGTTGTGAAGTGTAAAATTGGAGATGGCTGAAACAAAACAATACAGCTTGGAGAAGAAGAAGAGGAAAAAAAAACAAAACCATCATACGAAGAGAGAAAACTGCAGCCAGAACAGCAGGTTTACTTCTCAAGTGCGTATGAATGGTTGCTTCACATTCGGCGCTTATGCAATCTCAGAGAGAGAAAAAAGAGAGCGAGGCAAGATGAACGCATAATCAAATGAGAGGCAATTTGTTATTTTTTACGCAAGCATACTCTCTTCTCCTCCTCCCACTCCTCCCTCCTTACTACCCCCTCCTTTGTCTGCAGTGCAGCTCAGAAATTTCTCTGTATGATAATGAGAGGCTTTCAAAATTGCTCACACACAGAAAAAGACTTAAGCGCAAATTTGTGTGCATGGCAGCCTGATTTCATAAAAGGACACATGAATGGCTTTGAACTACTAGCAACCACAGTCTTCCGCAGACATTTATTGTCATTTTTATGGTCACAAACTGGAGTTAAAGCATCTGTAGGGACCTTTGGAAGCATTCTGTGCCAAGCATGCGGAAGAACCAGATGCATGTAGTGACTATTTGATATCCATACAGAACCTGAAATCAAATAATCTGGGAATAACTCAGTTGTGTCTTTTGTTTGAGACACACACACTCGCATGCACACACGTAGAAAGCCATAACTCTGTATGTGTCTGACGGGAAGTCGATGGGAAGCCATAAGAGTGTGAATACCGCTGCGTCAATAATGTTCAGTTCACCGTTCTGCCATTCAGCACTCTGCAGACAGAAACATGAGCAGCCTGCAGCAGCATATATGATGCAGCAGGACACTACATCGTGCTGATCCACCAGTCAGACAATAATAGTGACATTACTCACTGACAGAGCTTACTAGTACTGTTTGCAGCATCTAGTCTGCTATCATGAACTAAAACCTGCATCCGTGTTAATATTTTGTGCCCAACAAGCAGGAGAGTACCTATGGCAATGCTTGCAGCAAAATGTGGCGCTTTGAGCTAAATTTTAATATCAGATGAGAATAGCTCACTTCAGTTCTCTTTTCCTTTTTTTTTTTTTTTTTTTTTTTTTTAAAGGGAACCTTTTTGTTTCAAATTAGCATGTTTTCCTCATGGACTCATTCTTGGATCATTTCTCTCTTGATGTCAATGAATGTATTTCTTAGGCACGGATTGCTGGTGCCAAAAAAAATAAAAAATCTGGCTATTTTTCACAGCACCCGCATTCAGCAGCAATAAAACAAAGAATGAATTAATAAGATGGTAAAAAAAAAAATAGCATGGAGCTTTGAGGTAGGAGTGCCTGGTGGTGAAACTGGCACTATGATTTCATGATGAGATATGAGACACGAGTAGAAAAAGTGCTGGTAGAATAGGAACAAAAAAGGGAAGGAAAACTCTCCTTCCACTGCATGTTTTTAATGTGATTTTATGTAACATTTGTCTCGGTTGGAGACACTTTTACTCAAAAGTGTTGTTTTTGTCCTGGTGTTGTAAGCGGACATGAAACACTAACAGACAATGCCTATACTTCTGCAATACCTGGCCATACCTTTAGTACTGAATATCTATAAGAACTAGACTGCTGCAGCTACATAATAGTAATACAACATAAGGTTGTATTGTTTATTGAAATAAGATTGGCTACCATTACATGTCACACAGACCAGGGGGACATAGTGAAGTTTAGAATCTAAGACTGTTATCAACTCTTTAGCTGTACTCTAGTGCAAATGTATGTAAAATGGAAAAAATCCCTCCCTACTTGTTTCTCCTGTTATCGCTCATCATTATTCATGAGCTGAGTAATATCCATTTGTGTAAATAAAAAGTTGAGAAACGGTGCACTAAAGAGCTTTTTAATCAAAGCCAGGAACATATGAAAACCACATTTTTTAAAACGGTTTAAAAAAACCCCGTTTATTATCATCATTGACCTTTCGTTAGCTTCATCCATTTCTGTGAAGTTTAAGAAATCTGTCAAATCTAAAAATATATTTGTTTACATACAATATATGAGAATACTACAAATATAATTTCTATATGAAGGGTTTTGGCTGTCATCTTAAACATCCAGTTTGGTAGGTTGCTTAAATGCCACTTGAGGTGGTATAATTACCATTTTCATGATGACACGCAAGTTAAGTAAATACTATATGAAGGTCCAATTATGTTAATTTTACTTATTTTATGTTGGTGGGTACGTTTTATATGTAGCTGAATTTAAAAAATATATATTTTGAATGTGATTTTAAAAGCATAATGAACACAAAAATCCAAAAAACAGACCATTTGGTCAACTGATAAATCGACTTGTTCCTCCTGTCTCTTTTTCGAAGGGCTCCATTTGGACTTGCATCTCCTCGAGGTTCGAGTTTGTCCAGTCCAGTCGGAGGAGGGGGAAGTGGGTGCAGTCAAGCGGCGGGTAAAATCTCAGACCCTTCATCCCCCGGGTCTCCCGGCCCCTCGTCGTCTCGTCCCGCCACTCCGCTCGTGACCTCAGCAAACTGCGTCAACAGTGTCAGCCCCGCGTCCTCGCCACAAACTGCCGCCGCCCAGCTGAAGAACTGCCTGCGTTCCAGCCAGCATGTGGCCAATCAGGCCCGCACGTCAATGCAGCTGGGTAAGCAGAAACACGAACACGTAGGGTGTGTATTTTTGACTTAAATCAACAAATTTCAGTTTGAGTGTGCAAAAGCTGTTTTTAGATGGATCTAATTCACACGATTCATTTGGACACATTAAAATGATAGAAATTGAACCTTTTTCATTCATAAACTGAACAACAACTTGTGTATTTGCAGCATAATTAAGTTTCCTGAAAAGATGTCAAAGAAGAAGGGATTCTTCCTGCTGAATATTTAATTAACAAATTGATAGAAGTAAAAGAGATTAATTAAATATGTGTCTTTTTTTAATGCTGTTTGCACAGTTTCAGCTCAGGCTACTGACTCCAAGCAGCAGAGTCCTTATCATTTAGGACATTGGAGCATTTTACCCACTTTTGTTCTTGATTAGAAAATAATGGAATATCGAACAGTCATTAATCCAGGTACCTACTATAGCAGGCACAGGTCCAGTTAACGTCCTCTTTCTTTAATTGTCTTTCTCTTGTACATTTGTCTTGTTTTTTTTTTTGTTTTTTTTTAATGTTTCTCATTTTTACAGTCGCTAATCAAAAATCTGTATAACAGTGACTGTGAGCATTTTGCTACAATAAATGGATGACTTTATGTACTGACTTGCAAAGAGAAGAAACCCAGAGTTGGGCAACAAGCCTGATTTAGGAATGCAGCAACATAAAAACTTGAGCTGATATTGATGTTCGATATAAATATTGCTGTTATGGCTGATAAGCAGTATTTTTTTATATAACAAAAATATATTTCTGCATGTTTATGTATCTGTATTTATTATCCCCTACCGTTGTGACACCATGGAGGAATGACCACACCACTGACATTCCTGCACTGATTCATTATCTCTGTCACATGCCCAAACAAATACCACATGGACAACCACTCTGCCTCCCAAAACACTCCGACAATAACAAGATAAAGACAAACAGTGATTATTGAAATTGGCCTGGTTTTGCTTTTCGAGACTGAGACCAATTTGCTAAAAAATGACTAACAATAGTCAAGACTAGTGATGGCAGTATATTGTGCATCCCTAATCTGAGTGGCTTATTTGTTCGGTTTAAACTCCAACCAATGCCAGAAAACCAAGCAACTTTACTGAGTTCAGGCAATGAGGATTCTTGTTTGACTTTAGGCAATAAATTATTTTGGTTTCCCTGAAATTACCTTCATGCTCAGTTGTAAATGCCACAAACTAAGAAAATTAAATTACTCTGAAGGTTGGACCATGGAGATAGTTTAGGTTTTAAGAATAAATCTAGGTTGTTTACTATTCAGGTTCTCCACAGCCCATTATCGAAACTACTTTTTTTTAGATAATTTGCTATTTAGATTTTGTTTATACACGTGGCGAGATTTGCTCGTTTGTTGGCGTTAAATTATAGGAAACTAAATGATTCAAATAATTCTTTGTTAAAGTTAGGCGTAGTGTGCAAAGCTTCTTGTTTAGGTTTAGGTGAAGTATCTGGCTGCTCTAAGTTTATCATTTCAGTTGTATTTACTCAAATAGGAATGTGTAAATATCTATGCTAACAGGAAATGAAACTACAAAGATCCTTTTAAGGAAACTAAACTTCAGTGTTAAGATTTGGCAAGAAGTGTACTTTTTTATGCTTAGGAATAACATGGAAAAAACAGTTCTTGTGGCAAAACCAAATCAATAAGCCAAAGTCAGTAGTTCATTTTATGCATAGGAAACATAATTATTTAGTTACGATTAGGTGATACGATTAATCACTTCCACTGAGCCTGGCTTTGTTGTTGTGCTTTGACACCAAAAGAGTTAGGGAAACTAAACTATACTTTGTTAATAGAAGGCAGGACATTTGTTTAAGTGTTAGCACTTATTGGAGACACTGAGTTTAGGTTTTCCCACTCGTTTATGCACCGAGAACCATTTATAACACTAATATGACTCGATCTGTTTAAAATATGTTTGAGAAATACGCTGCAGCACAGGATGATTTAGCAACACTCCAGCGTTACTTTATCCAAGCAAACATGCAAGCTAACCCCACATGTGAAAAACACTGAAACACGGTGCTCTGATCTTTCAGTGTTACTATTTGTGCTACAAGCAGTCACACTCACATATACACGCACACACACACTCACACTGTTGCACTAGTACAAGGTCTAGATCATATCAACCTTGCTTTCCACTTGGAGTCTATTCATCTCTTCAATACCCCTTTCTCTCCTTCTCTTTGTGTCATTTCTTTCTCCCTCTGAGAAAATAATGCTGAAGGTCTCTTTGGGAAGGCTGAAGAGTACACACTCAGAGAGCACTGCCAAGATTAACACGCGCACACACACACGCAGGCATGTGCACACCCACGTTCGTACACACACTCAAGTGAACTCACAAACTGACAAGCACATAGCCGAATGACATCACTGTGCTTTTTGTTTTATGGAGGCGTAATGACAGAGCTCCTCGTTTTTTTCTCCCTGATTTTTTCCACTTTTTTTCCTCCCTTTTCTCTTGTTGCTTTGTGTCTTTTTTCTCTCTCCCTCACACACACACACACACACGGACACACATCTGGTCTCGATTACAAAATTTAGTATGTGCATAGTTCTGGCATTTAGTGGTTTCATCACATGACCAGCTCACCTCTATGAAGGATTTTTTTAGTAGCCTGCTGCAGTGTAGCAGAGCAGGTGGCTGGAAAACTCAATTGTTTTTGCCATTATCTTTATATGGATTTTTATTTTTGAGTGACCTACTTAAGATTTTACAATTTAAGGGTTTAGATTTGTCTTTTAAATTAAAGATGTTTGTAAGAATGTCAATAATAAGGGAATTTGACTAGGAAACTGACACTTTCGACCAGTTGGCTCAGCTTCTGAGAATCTTTGGTAGTTCTTTGTTTTCCTTTTTGCAAATTTGTTTGGATGAATTTAAATATGAACTAAAAAACAGAAAAAAATGCACTGTAAGCACTGTACCAGCTTTTAACCATGATGTTGGTAGAATGATGCTAAGGTTTTATTCCACTGATATATTTTGAACTAAATTTGCTTAGCTTTAGAGGTAGTTCATTTTTTTTTCTTTTTTCCTTTCTTGACTATATAATTGAAACCTTATTTTTGTTTTCCTGCTATTGTTGGTCACTACAACACTTTTTACCTAAAAGCATAGCAAATGTCCATAGAATTAAGTAATAAAGGTTGATGTAAAGGTAATACATTCATAATGATTGTATCAGCAGATTACTAGTCAGATCATTAAAAAATGATTATTTCAAACATTACTTTCCTGATTTCAGTCAATCTTAGTGTAACCCTTGCATTTGTTTTGTTTTATTTAGTCCATAGTCCACCTGCTGGAAGTCCAGAGCGCCCCACTGTGTCCATCTCCCCACTGCGTCCTCAGAACTCCTCTCCCTCACGTTGCGCTGGCCAGTCGGCTCGTCCCCTCTCCATGGTGTCTCCAGGACCCAGCTTAGGCCCCTCCCCGCTCTCCTCCCCGGCTTCACGGCCCATCCTCCCCCTCTCCTCCCCTCTCTCCTGTCTCACACCTCCCAACGTCTCTGCCGTGTTTCTCAACGGTGAGCCAGCCAGTCCGCTGCAGCCGCCTTCTCCTGGTCCCTCCCACGCTCCCACCCAGGGGGCTCTAGCACCCAAAGTGGAGAAGGTAGGACTTCTGCCTGCTTGCAATTAAAAGACTACTTCTCAGAATTATAAGTTATTGATTTTTCTTTTTGCCAGCAGCTAAGGGAAAGATTATTAAATATTGATGTTTTTGAAAAAAAAAATGTCAAAATCTAAAATATATATATATATATATATATATATATATATATATATATATATATATATATATATATATATATATATATATATATATATATATATATATATATATTTAACCTACATTAATTTATTACTGGCATGAATGTCCACTAATGAGGATGTAGAAGAAGAACAGTATTTAAAAAGGCAACGCTTTGTGCTGATGTGACTTTTCGTGACTCCAGAGATTGTGTTCCTCCTGTATATCTTGCCTCTTGTGATTTAATTAACTTGCCAAAGTCAAATTAGAAAAGGATTTCGTCAAATGTCACCTTATCCTCCTTGTTTTTGTAGGTCTGTATTGTACAGGTTCTACATCTGCATGTGTGTATGCACTGCGTGTGCAGACTTGCTTAGTGTAATGTGCCCAGGGCTTTGGTACAACTGCTCAGCGGACCCTTGTGCACCAGCAGTGAAGGATGCCGCCGAAAGCTTGCATTTGTCTCAGCTCCATTTGTTTCACTGTTGGCTTCACGCGCTGGGACAGCTAATCTAACTACATGGCTGCCTGACAAACAGCTCATTGACTGTGGAACAGCATGCAGAGGCTTTGTTTACATCAGAGATGGCCTGGAATCTTCTTGTAAAAGCTCGACTCAGAGTTTTGCCCCACATTTTGATCATATAAAAAAAAAAAATAAGAATAATAAAATACGTTGGCAATTCTTTAATCCACCCACTTGAATCAGGAAAGGTCTGGAATCTAAGTATTTTTTCTGTAAACATTTGGAAGAAGGATTAGTGTTTCCAGACTTTTTTTCTTTTTTCACTGTCAAAAAGCTACATCCACCCATCCAGAGTTCCCTTCACTCATCTAGCCATCATTGTTTGTTCATCTGTCTAATCATTTGTTTGTCTGTCCATCCATCTGTCCATCCCAGGGCCTTCTTCATCCAGTCAGCAGTGCAACAAAATGCACCGCTGTGCAGCCCTTTTTTTAAAAAAAGTCTTGACTTCAAACTTGATATCTAAATTTTGCCTCCACCAAATCTCCCCAAGCATTCTGTAATTAAAAGAGTAACAGGTGTGCAAGTCAAACTCTTACAGTCCAGTTCATATTTTTTGCTAGTTTGAACAGGACAAGACAGATATAACCAGGTCTGAAGTCATATTTCACTCGCGAGAAAATGATAAAGCAGCTATGCCGACACAGTTTAGGTTAAATCTGTGCTTGACACGCTGTCTGGAGCACAGCTGCCGCTACAGACCATAACGGTCTGGATGCTGCACACTAGTTTCCAAAAAGACTGTACTCACGGGGCAGCTGCCAAGGAAAAAAGCTGTCGAGAGTGCTCAGAGGATTTCGGGTCCTGAAAAGTGCAGGACATGCCAAGAAACATGTTGGAGATGATTTAGATATTACTGGCCTTGGTTTCCATTTAAACAGAACTGTGTAGAACATATGGAACATATGTTTACCCCTTCAACTTTTTAGTTTTCTCCGAATTAACTTGAAAATGCCGCCATCTTGGTCTTAAGACGTGTTAAGACACGAGGTTATCATAATCCACTGAAACGGATCAGTTCTTCAGATTTTATCCCATTGTATTCCTGGATTTTACTTGGATTTCCTGTCGTTATCCAGCATCCGCTCCACTAATTGTATCAACCCTGAGCTGTTGGCTCTAGATTCCCAAACACTAAGGTGAGACTTCATCTTATTCGGTGAAAAATACAAACGATTTCCTATGGCACTGCTTTTAGCTACATGTCAAAATGTGTGCCCTGCTTTATTCATGAAAGAAAACAGCACAGGAACAAACGGCTGAAGCTGAATGTTGGTGGGATAAGTTACATCTGAGTTAATGCTGCTCTCTGGTGGTTTATTTGGAAACAGCGCTCATGGGTCTGTGTGTGCTCTTTATAAATATATGTCCATAAACAGACATTTATAGAGAAGCACACTGAATCACAAGAGGCAGATTAAGCCTTTAAGCCAGCAGATGAAAGAAGAGAGGGAGTGATTATTCACATTTTGTGCCATTTCAATCTACCTCCCTTCTTCTTTTTCTCTTCCCTTCTGCTCGTCTCCTTTCTTGCCCCGAAAATCCCTCTTTCATAATTAAATCCAGCTCCCATCTTACCATTTTCTCCTTGTTTAGTGTTGTTTATTTCACTGTCCTGTCCTCCATCTCTGAAATTAGCATTCAGTCTGTTATTTTTGCAGGAGGATATAATGTGTGCTACCAAAGCTCTGAGCATTTTGTGCGTGCGTGCGTGCGTGCGTGCGTGCGTGCGTGTGTGTGTGTGTGTGCATGTTTTACTACCTTGCTCTTAACAGCTGCTCATTATTCCAACTGTGAGCTATAAAAGATTCATGTTTGATAAAGAGACTAAAGGTAGGAAACACTAAAATGTCCATATTTGGAGAAAAGCACATATTTTCGGAGGGAATGCTCTTCAAAGATAGCAGAGAAAGCTATCTTTGGAGAGCAGGGGATGCAGTTGGCTTTTGGTAGTAATCCTGCTGAGTCTAAATGTTTTCACACTCTCTCTTAGTGCTTTGTTGAGCGCTTGTTTCTGTGCCATCCCTCCTCTGTGCTAAGGCTGCACTTGAGGAATGTGGCTTGTTTGCAGTGATGCTTTTTGTTTTGGTTTTCATCAGCCTTGCTGTGTGGGTTGTTTTAACAGGAACTTGGGGAGAATGCCAAGTCCTGACATCAGAGTAGTTGATATGGCTGTTTGTTCTGTGTCTGACAGATGAATGTATCAGCTAATTTTGCTTCAACAATTGTTACCATGACTGTGTAATGAATGTCAGTCAAAGTAATGGTCTGTAAAATATTGCTTGGGAGACCATCAAGCTAAAATATTTCTGCAAAAAATTTCCTCTCTGGTCACTCTGGTCACCAGCCAGCAACAAGAAACCTATTTGTGCTTGTAGACGCGTTTCGTATTGTATAGTTTCCTGTTTTGCTGTTTTTAGGAAAGAATGAATCTAGACTAGAGAGGCATTCCTTTCCGTGCATTCCTGATGTTTCTGAAAAGCTTTGACATGCTGGCTCAGTTTTTATCCTATTCCCATGCCTTCTTAACTTTAAGACGTGGTTTTATTATTTCTGTGCCATATGTGTTTCTGGGTCTTTTGTAACTCAAAAGACCAAATTATTTTTGAGAAGTCAATATAAACTGGCACTATTAGCAACTAGCATGGCCAGCAGATCACAAACACAGATTTTACATCTATAAAAGGAAGGAAATCAGCATTTCTAAATCCAGTATCTGCCATAATGCTAAATAAAAGCTAAAAAAATAAAAAATAACATATACAGTTGAAACCAGAAGTTTGCATACATCAAATAAAAAGACAGAGACTTTCTTTTCTCGCTGCCGGAAATGACATCAAACCAAACTCCTTTGGTTTGAGGTCAGTTAAAATGACCAAGATTATTTCTACTCACTAAATGCCACAATAATAAGAGAGAGAATCTGTCAGAAATGTATTTATTGATGTCTTCAAAATCAGAAGTTTACATACATTTCCTCGGTATTTAGTACAGTTGCCTTTGAACTGTTTGACTCAGGCAGAACATTTTCGGTTTCCTCTCATAAGCTTCTCTCGACAGCTTTCATCCAGAACTGGAGTAACTAAGTCAGGTTGCTCGCCTCACTCACACAAACATTTTGAGATTTGGCCACAAATTCTGTATAGGATTGAGATCAGGTCTTTGTGACAATCAGGCCAAAACTTTGACTTTGTTGTCTTAAAACTACTTTGTCTCCACTTTGGTTGTATGCTTAAGACCAGTCTGCTTCCAACCCTTAACTTCCTCACTGATGTCTGTTACTTTTGCTTCAAAAATAGTTTAAAATATTTAGGCAATATTCCAAGTGTGCTTTAATTCGTTTTTATCTCATAAATGTATTATTTTTCCAGGGTCTTTGTGTAAAGCTTCCACCTCTTACTGCACATTTCCCTCTCTCTGTCCGTATCTGTCCATCCTCAGAAGGAGAGAAAAGCAGCAGGCTTGCTAAAGCTCTTGTCAGGGGCTGCGGCCAAAAAGAAACCACGCTCACCCACGTCCTCTCCACCCACACACGACCCCTCGCAGGCAGGCCAGGGGGCCGGGGCCACAGAGCCAACCCACCACTTTCACCACCACGGCCGCTCGGGCTCCTGTCCGATGGCGTCTCAGGGCCGAGCCGGCTCGTGCCCAATCGAGAGTGATATACCGGGGGCAATAGGGCTGGAGCCGCTGCACAGGAAGTCCGGTTCCCTGGATACCAACTTCCCCATGTCGCCCCCAGCAACACGTGCTGGCAACGCTCTAATGGTCCTCCGGCCTGAGCCCAAACCTTTGTCAAGAGAGAGGTAGGTCTGGGAAAACTGCACCTATATAGGTGCAGGCAAGAGCAGACACCACCAGCTTTTAAAAACTTGCTTATGAGGCCACATCTGCAAACAATAGGAAGTATTTTCTGAAAGTGTTGTAGAATTTTTGGATGGAGGATTTTGGCAGCAGGATGTAAAGTAGTCCTGAGAGCGTGAGTAATCACTAAAGCATGAGCAATGACTCTGAAAACAATTTGAGCCACCCAGAGGCATTTCTGGGGCCAATAACTCTCTTCTGTCTAGATTCAAAATATGACTAAGGTTTTATGGATGGGACAGTTTTAAATTGCCTTGGAAATGCATTTCTTCACCTTGGATTTTTCATTTTTGTCAAGTTTTAAAAATCCTATGTATTTTTATGTTTTTTTTTTTTTGTTATGCACAAACACAAAAAAGTGCATAATTGTAAGGTGACAATTAAGTTGTGAAGTGAAAAATCACTCAATACTTTGTTCCTTTGATTGAAAGCACAGCTGCATGATTGAAAGCACAGCTGCAAGTCTTTTGTTTTATCCAGTTTTGCACATCCACAGACTCACCCTGATATGAATATGCTTTGATGTAAATCATCATCATGCTTTGTCCTTGTAGAAGATGAACCTCAACATGGTGTCTTCTGATTGGCTAGTGTTTAACTGCATTCATCTCTTCATCCTTCCTAACAAGCTTTACTGTTCCTGCTCATGAAAATCCTACCTTAAATATTATCCTATTTCACAGTGGTTCACCATACATAGAGTGCTTTTGCAGAAAGTTACATTTTGGTCTTTTTCACAAGTTTGTGTATGTTATATGGTTTGTTGTGGATGTTACTTTTTACTTGCTTTTAGTTTTCAACAACAGCTTTTTTCTTTTTTTCATCCAATTCTTGTATAAATACAAGATGCACAAACAGGTATCCTGTCAACAGATTTCCTGCAGCTCCTCCATTGTTACCATGGTCGCTATAGCTGCTTCTGTAATTAATGAGCTCTTGGCTACTGTGTCCTTCATGGTGCTGTTTGCTCACTATTGTTCTCTAACAAGCCTCTGTAGCATTGAAATTACACAAGAGCACCTAATTTCATATTTTGGTAACATCTGAAAGAATGTGGTTGCAAAGGATTTTATTTCTGCAACCAGTTCTCTCTTTTAGGATAGAGGGCACTGAATTCAAAAACATGCCACACTTTTTAGATTGTTCTCTGTAAAATAAAACAAACAAGAAATGTATCTCTCTTTCCCTCCACTTCACAGTTATTTTCTACTTTGTGTTGCATGATACGCGTAATACTTCCGTCTTTGTAGTTGTAAAATTTCTAGAACTGACCAAGATAACATGCAATACTAACATAAAGCACATGTCCTTTACTTTTACCAAACCTGTTCTCTAAAACACATAAACTTACACACAGAGGCATTTTTGCCTCTAGAGAAACACACAATTGCAGGGACTTATGTCACATTACATTGGGGAAGAATGAGGCATTTAATAGTAGAATATATCATTACTATATCATTACTGTCAGCAGCATGCTCCTGTAGAAAGAGCTGGATAGTTGCTTTTCTCAGGAGAAAATGCCCGCTGTATAATGGAAGAAGTGTGTACAAACATTTAGCATATTTGGTAATCAAAGTCAAATATCAGAAAATACTTTGGTGGAGATATTTTACCAGAACTAGCTAAAACATTCTAAATGTAGTGAAAAAAAAAAAAAAAAGTTTTGTTTTGTCTTGGCAGGTATCGTGTGGTCGTTCCATACCCGCCTCAGAGTGAGGCGGAGATTGAACTGCGGGAAGGGGACGTGGTGTTTGTTCACAAGAAGAGGGAAGACGGGTGGTACAAAGGCACCCTGCAGAGGACGGGACAGACCGGCTTGTTTCCCGGCAGCTTCGTCGAGAGCTTCTAAGCTCCAAGAACGGGACAAAAGAGTTCAACCCCGTCTCTGAGTCACACACAGAAAAATATTTCACACAAACACAAGCAGCATCTACACGGAGGTTGGGCTGATATTGGTTTCACAGATTCTTTTATTTCTTTACTGGATCAAAATTCATGAAATTTTAAGTTTCATTTTCTAACCTGCCTTAAGAAACTAAACTAACTCTTCAACAGTGGAAGGAAAAAGAATTTCAAAATGTTCTGTTTTTAAACATATCGAGCAATATACAAGTTTTAAATGAATTCATGTTTGAAGCAGCCACAGATCACAACTGCTGTCTACAACTTTCTGAAATCCAGATTAGTCCGACCAATTCACACACACTTCACTAAGCACATGCAGCCCCTTACACAATTATTAGGACCCCTGGTAACATGTAGAAAGTCTTAAAATGAATCTTTTTTTCTTTTTTTTTTGTACTTTAGAAGCATAATCTCATACTGAAAAATTTACCTGAATTAGAGCACATTTATTCAGTTTACTGATCACACCGTGTAACAGCCACATCTACAGAAAGTTTGTACAAAACTGTCCCCAATGTTTCTTGATGGTTGTTAGCTAGATCTTTGCTGAAAAACAGTTTAACCTCGGTACCTGTTCAGAAAACTTAAAATGTCACCTCTGAACAGTTTAAAAAGATAATATACCATGTATTGCTAAATCAACACAGAAATAGTTAACCACTCTTTTTCTTGCTATCCCCGTCTCCAGACCAGATAGGTTTTTATTTTACTCTAAAAAAATATCTACCCAATCTAAAAGGTGGCTTTTTTCAGAAAATTTAATTGTGAGATGATCTTACTGCGACAAATACATTCATTTAAAGGCTTACTACACTTATTTACGAGGGCTGCCACTAATTGTGGAGGTCAACTGTAGGACATGGCTTTAAACCAGCCCAGCCTCCTGGATGGAGTTTACCTACAACTCGTGCTCCGAAGCTACTGAAGGCACAGACTCTAAGAGCACAGAACGATGAGCCATGCCTCCCAGATTCCTGTTTGGCGTTGTCCACCAGCAAACATTAGCACAAAAATTATTAGCTCTGTTTTTCCACTGAGACCTCAGAACTTGAATCCGGGTGCTTTCTTCGTTTGAGAAGTAAACATTTACAGCCAGGCGGTGAGGGAAGTACGCAAGCCTGCACTCCAGGATCTTCTCGTCTACTCTGTGACAGCGAGCACACGTTTGGTTTCAGCCCAGTATATGTTGACAATGCATGTAGCATTATTATGTTTCTTTTTATATGTTGTAATAGGTGTTTGTGTTGTCCTGCTGTGATGATCTGTCACAACATTTTATTTAAAGAAGAAAAAAAATGGCAGAATTAGGACATCCATTTTTCTATTTATATGTCTTACATGACTGAGAAAATATTTAACTTTTATTACTTTTTGGCTCTCAAACTTCAATTTAATTTGAACTGACTGGCTTGTTGAATGTAAAAAGAAACAGGAAGTCAGAAAGAAATAGGAAGTCACAACGAAATGCTTCTATAGACTGTTTTTATAAAGTTGATTTTGAACTTTGGTATGAGAATAGACACAGAAGAAATGCACTTGGTGATATTTGGTACAACTTGCCTCCATACTTGCATATACAGTTTTTGAGCATGTCAAGGGATTTTATTTTATTTTTTATTTTTTTACTTCTGCTTGTCTTTTTAAGCAAGATTTTTCTACAAGCAGGCACAAAGTAGTTCGGTACAATAACAGGTTTAAGTTCAACTTTCGAAATACTTGGAGGTGACTTCACCCTCTTCCGTCAGACAGTCATTAACACCTTCCACAAAGAGCCTCAGAAGCGTGTTACTAAAGAAGCTAGCAGTTCCCATAGTGCTGTCTCCAAGCATAGCAAAGAAAAGTAGAGTGGAAGAAAAAAAATGCAAATAGAAAATCTAATTCTAAAGCCCAGATTCTCATAAAAGTTGCTTTTTATATTAGAAATGATTAACACACAAATGTATGCCTTCTATGATGAATGTTCATACACCGTACAATAAGAGTCGATACCTGGTCGGACACACTTCTGCATCCATTACTGTGTGGTGATCAGACTGTTCTTCTGCTAAGTTGCTAAAGATGCTCTCACCAACAGCACAAATATTATTTAGGAAGCTTAGGTCAGGTCCTTCCACTCAGCCTTCCTTTAGGAAGGAGCTTTTGTGGTTTTAACTCCCTGTGGAGGGTGTCAGTGAATATCTGTCATTGGTCTTGTGTAATATTCAGTTTTCTAATAAACCTAATTTGGGGTTTTTATTAGTTTCAAACCATAACAATGCAAATTAAAGTGAAACAGAATAATTTAAATGTCAGTTTATCTGATATGAGTCCGTATAATATGAATTTTACCTCAATAATATTAACGATTAACGATTCTCTAATTTATTGAAATTCATCCATAGAACAGACCTTTTCTTGAAAACCTGATAACGTTTTTAATCTGACTGCAGCAACATTGTTTCAACACAATGAGAGGAGAACCTGGATCTTGTCTAGTTTCCGTTTTATTCATATTAATCTTTTTCTTCCTGTTTGTGAAAACACAGCAAAGCTCTGACTGTGACTGTGAACAACAGACTGAGAAGTCAGCAGCCAAATTGTTTGATTTTTTTTTTTCTTCAGCCTAAGCACAAACAGCTATCAGTCAAGTGCACAAGTAGAACGCTCTTTCTCTGACAAGATGAGCACACAAGGGTCTAACTGACACTAACCAGATCAACAGATTGGTTTGCATCGCATAGAAAAGCTGAAAGAAAGTGACCTTTGGCTGCTGTTGTTTTTTTATATACATTTTCCTGCATTTTTTTGGATATTTTAAGTGTTCTGTGTGTTATTTGTGAAATGTTGTAGAACTGACCAAACTTTAAAGATGTTTTTGTTGTATTTTTTTTTATTTATTTTTTTTCAAAGCACATATTTCAACTTGAGTCCTCCGTTTAAGCTGTTGCTTCCACTCACTTTATCTATAGATCATTTCTAGTAAGTTAACTTTAAGCCTCATATGTATGTGATTTTCAGTCACCTTATTTATCTGTTTCACTTGCAAACCGATTTAACAAATTTATTACATCAGTTAAATTATTGTCAGGACTGCTTACAGTCTTCATCACATCCAAAAATTTTAATTTTAACTTTTTGTCCAAAACTTTCCGAGGAATATTTGTATTTTTTTTCCAGAAGCACTAAAGAGCAGGTGAACTAAAACACAGCGTCCTTCAAATGTTCACAATAAGAGCCTTAAACCTGCGTTCTTATCTTGTCACATAAAGTTAATGAAAATACACTACAGGCTGTGTGCTAAAATCTACACATAATAATCACGGTAAAGTTTCTCGCAATGTTACATTCTTGTTTACATTACTGTTACCCTGCATGAGACATGACAATGTGACTTTTGTTGTGTTTGTGAAGGATTCGTGAAACATTTGGGTGCACCTAAATGTTGCCGATGGTGATGCATGTGGCTAATTGTTAGGTGCACATGTAAGCACAGCTCTGGTTTTGTATCGAACACATTCATAAATGCTGAAACCAAGCAACAGGACATGGACAAGCCTTACAAAAGCAAGCACAAAGCAAAAACAGCACAGATAAAGAAAAACCCTAAGCTAAAAGAACATTTTTAAAAATGAAAGCTAATTGATTGGAATCCACAAGAAAATGATTCATCTGGATGTTCCCATGCAGGGAATCGTCAGAGGAAAACAGAATTATTCTTAAGATGAAATTATTTTCCTGCAACTAGGCGTGGGCTGTTTATGGTCAAGGTATGCCCGTGTTTTCCAAAAGGATAAAAACGTTCATAAAATTGTATTCACGCATTTATCCATTATATTCCGCTTAGCAAAGATCGGGTCGCACACTTAACAGGTCCACAAGGGAAACCCAGACATCTCTGGACCTACAGACACTCTCCAGGCCCCTCCTGGGACCCCAAGGCCTTTCCAGCCCAGGGGACATGTAGGGTATGTAGTCTGTCCAGCAAGTTTGGGTTGTGCTCTGGGGACCCATTATATATCCCAGTGGGTTGTCTTTAAAAACCTCCAAACAGAGACACCCAGGAGACATCATGGTACGATAATCAAGCCACCTGAGCTGACTCCTTTCAATGCAGAGGACCAGCGTCTGTCCTGATAGCACTTTCTCACCCTGTCTCTAAGCTTGAGTTTAGTCAGTCACAGGAAGATCATTTCAGCTGCTTCTGTCTAGAATCTCTTTCTATCTGTCATTAGTCACCTCTCATGAGAATGGGGAGCATAAACAGTCTGAGCGTTTCCTTTTTTGACTCAGCGATTTCTCCAACCCATCAGACCACAGCGTTGCCAGCATTGCGGCTCATGAGGTCACAATCTGTCTGACCCTCTTACAACCCATCCTGCCATCATTTAAGAACAAGAAACCTTTTTTTTTTTTTTTTTTAAAGCATATTAGATGTTCCTTTGGTACAAAGCTATGTTAATAAGGTGCCAGAATATGCTTTGAAGGGAACAAAGTTTCCTCTGGCTGTATGGAGCACAGAGGAATGCAAGACTCCTACAGTTTTCCATCACTTACAAGAAACGCAAATTCTTCATTTCTTGAAATATTTCTTGTCCCAGAATCATGAACAGTCATGGTATGGAAACTCAAAGAGCTGCACCCTGTTTTACTCTTGGTAAGCTAGGAGTAAAACAGCTGGTCAGTCCATAAGGCCTGGTCAGATAGGACAGCCTGGCTAATTTACCAGCAAATTTAAATGAAATGCACGATTTCAAAAAGATACATTTTGTCCAATTGATATTCTCAATAAATAAACAGTATTATATGTTTAATGTTACTTTAATAATACTACAATAGCAGCAGTAAGAACGTTTGTTTTCTAGGTTGCAAAGAAAAGCCATTCGACCACGTTGAGACATTCGTGTTTGTTGTGTGCTAACATTGCAGTATTGTTACTGAAGGTTTCGTACTGTGAGAACCTGCTACCGGCTCATCCCTGTGTGCAACAGGTCCCAGCTCGCATGTGTCTGGACTGCATTCAACTTTTTAGATTCGGCATTGAATTTATCCACTGTTAAATTAACTTGAATATGTTTTTTTTGTTTGTTTTTTTATTGCACAAGCTCAAATTTGTTATCTGTATGAGTGTCACTAGGGCTTCTTTGTTCAGTGAGTAAAAAGGTGCGTATTTATCTCCAGAAATGAGCAAAGAGGGAGTCACTAGGAAACTTTTGGGTATCAGTTCTTGGAAAAGTCGGACTTAGCATATCCCCATTGGCCTTTGAAACCTGTCAGTCAAACCTTAGTGCCTACAAATGTCACACAAATACATGGTGTTTATTCTAGGCAGAGCAGTGCCCTCTTTCCATGCTTCTTTGTATACAAGTGTGAGTAAGGCGAGGTTAATTTGTAGTCCTCTCTGTTTTGTTGGGCCCGATGACAGCAACCAGCAGATCCCAAAACAGCTCTGCACTGGTCTCACGTGAGCTTTTCTTTGTCTCTTTGTGGGCTTGCTAACTCAAGAACTCATATATATATTGTTTCCGATTTTAAAAAAACAACAAAAAAACAGCCTCTTATTTGTGTTGGAGATCATTGAATCTCAGAAGTATGTGTTTTATTTTTGTTTCCGTTGGGAGCCGATTTTCTTTGGGGGGAAAAAAAAAAAAAAAACGTTTACAGCTGTCAAAATGTCAGGAATAAAACCACTGCACAGTGGTCACTTTAGATATAACTTGAAGCGCCAGTTTTTCAAAAGTTTTGTGTGTGTGTGTGTGTGTATGTTTGTGTTTTTAATTATGTGATCTGAGGTTGTCATTCACCTCACAGCTTCCTGGTCGAATAAATGAATTAGCTGAAAAATTGCAGTGAGGGCTTCAGACATTAAATTAAAAGCAGTGAAGATTTTTGGTCATTCTTTCGAGGTGTAAGCATTATTTGGCTTGACTGAGCCACAATACTAGCACTCATTGTCTTGGAGCACTATTCACACCCCTGAAAACGCAAACAATGTATTTTATTGAGATTTGATGTGATGGATCAAGATAACATGGCACATTTTTCTAATTTATATTTTCCAACAGCCTATGAATCCTGACTTTGTAGCACCACCGTTGGCTGCAACACCTTTCTGATTTATATTTGTAAAAACCATTTATCATTAGCCTTCAACTTTATAATTATGTCTGATTTTGTCTGGGTGTATCAAAACAAAAAAAAAATCCCAGTAAGAAAGAGAAATGTTTGTGGTTGTGGGAACCTGAATGGGTTTCCATTTTTGAGCCCAAACGCTTTTTGTGACGTGGTCAAGTTATCTACCAGGAAGCTTGAGTTCCCGATCTGCCATTTTGTATTAAACGCCATATTTGTTCTTACAGATACTTGAGAGAACCTGTGCGTGTGTGTGTGTGTGTGTGTGTGTGAATGCAAAGCGGGAGGACAGAGGCTTCTGTATGTAGCTCTTTACACTAAAAAGAAACTCTATGACAAAGCGTGGTGCAACAGACGCTCATGCCTCTTCAGGACTGACTCGTGGTGAAAACTGTTGGTACTGTGGGTGAAACAGAGAGAACAAAAAAAAAAAAGATTATATATAGATATATGATTCTATATTGTCCAGAATATTTATAGGCCTTTTGTGCCATTGCAGTCATGCTCTGGACTGGCACCGTCCAGCGCTTTCTACCATGTGATCATTATACATCGTCTTGTACTGATGACCCGTGGTTGATATGATTGTTTTTTTCATGTCAAGTGCATTTTTCGCAATAAATGCCTTTGTTTTCAAATTTATTTCCCTTGTGTTTGTGTTTTTTTTTGTTTTGTTTTGTTGCTATTTCAACCGCCTGCAGCTATTTAAAATGCAGTATGATTTGAAGCAAACCTCATTTGTGTGCTCTGATATAAAACAAACACATTACCTGTATTGCACCGTTTGAGTTTGCCCCTCAGAGGATTCATCCTGAGAATCATCTCCTGCTCTAATTAGAACCATCTCCACACACAATGAGCTCGTTACGAGCAACGCTGCAGGTATAGTTGTTTCAGAGTGTTGTTGTCCTCATCAGTGTAGACATGCTGGCGATGGATGCCTGCTTTGGCCTCCCCTCCGTCTTCTCTCGTCTATATCTTATCGCGCCCCTCTTCTTCTCCAACCAAACACTGACATGGATGAGGTGTGTAATTGGCAATTTCAGAGCATCTCCAGCACAACCCCCTCATGACATGACAACCTCATCTGCCTACAAGTCGAGGCCGTCTTCGATCATCACCTCCATTTGCATTTAGAGTGACTGGCAAAAAGGTTGCCGGGGTACGTGTGCGGGAATGTGCGCCTGGATTTATGCTCATTCAGAAAAACTTGACTTTAAACGCAGATATTTTATATTGGAGGTGAGCGGGCGGCTAATTTAGATTTTCTGCAGAGCCAAGATAGTGTTCGCCTTCTCCCGGAATAAAACTTGCGCTCTTACTCACAAACAGGCCTTTGCTGTGCTTTTGGCTCAGAGAAAAGCTTCTCCTCTGGGTGTCCTCTTCTCTGCCTAACGATAATAGCGGGGTTGCCACAGGCTCCTGCAGGGAATCAATCAGCGTTCCTCAGCTTTTACACCAAGCCCGTCTGTCCACCTGTCTGCTTGCTGGCATTTAAGTCATTTGAAGGGCAACAGAGCCAGAGGGTGAGACACTGCAGCGTACAAAACCCTCACGCACAAAACAAGATAATCCTCCTGTAAATGTGTGTGCTCTTAAAAAAAGTGAAGAGGTGGGAAAGGGAAAGCTTCTTTAGCCCTTTACAGCAAAAGGAAAACCAATAACCCTCCTGACACATGCAGGGCATGTCAGCTTTTGAAATAACTTATTTTCTGTCAGAATGATGCTTTATATCCTTGCGGATAAATACCATATAACTGATTAGTACTTTAATTATTTTTAATCTTGTTTTTATTTCAAAAACCAACACAATTGTAGCCTCTATTTTATATATGTCTGCAGCATTTTTTTTTCTCTGACATTTATGTAAGATTTGGGATAAAACATTGACCTTTTAGGGAGTCATGCAGTTATTGGGTTTTATTGGGTTTCATCTGTCAAGAAAACATGACATGGACGTTAGCATCCGAGTTGGGAGAGTGTCAAAGTGTCAGTTTGATGGATTTCTTTTTGGATTCTGGATTAATCATCAGTTCTGTTTTTAAAGATTTCAAGACCGGAATAGACCTACAGCCAATAGATTCTTTGTCCAATCACATATTTTATTTTATTTACTAGTTTTCGATTTGAAATCCAAGGGTCTTTTTTTTTGTAAAATTATTTGTCAAAAAGCCAAAAGTACACCTGTTTTGTACAAACAATAAAAACGGTAAAACATAGAAGGGGGTGAACACTTTTTATAGACATTGGAAATAATTCAACATCTTGTATGTAAATCCAATACTATCCCAGAATGTTGGATGCATTAATCATTTCTACACACATCAAATATATTTTGCTGTAAATTACTTATTTTAATAACCTAAATTAAAGTTGGCATAGATTTACCCAAACCTTCTGCCAAGGTGGACAAAAATAGGAAAACACAATGTGTCATGACAAAAATACAAGGATTTATTTAAAAAGCAAAAAAGATTCCAAATAATACTGTTTACTCCGTAAAAACAAATGTAGTAAACTGATGTTTGTGGCAGTGTGTGGGTAGTGTATGTCTAAGTTTCATACATTTAAGGCACTAATATTTGTAAGCACAATTGTCAGAAAGTATCAGTAAAAGTGAGTCAAACCAGCACCACAGTGTTCAGTTTTAGATTTACAGTACAAAGTAAAATGAAAATATGGATAAAAAGGAAAAACACAATCCTTCTTTTAGTTTTGCTCCCTCAACATTGATACAATATAATGCATAGTTTACTCATGATTTGCAGCAAAAATCCACTGTTTGTGGCAGTGAAAAAAGGCAGTGAAAGAAATATGTTCATAAATAGATCCTGTAATATATTCAAAATCAAAAAATAAACTTTAGCAATCCTAGTTTCAGAAAATCATAGCATCTCTAAATCCACAGAAATGGAGAAAAGTCAGGAGCAAGCACTTCCCTTTGGAAACAACTACAGGGGGACAAACACAAAAGATCTTTCTACAAAACTCAAAGCAAAAAAAGGAAAAAAAAAACAAACATAATGAATGCCCTTTGACCTCATTTTTAAAGATGAATGTAGTAAAATATCTTTGAGAAAAGGTATCGAAGTTTAAACTCTTAACATATTTCAAAGATTAAGGGGAAATCTAATTCAGGAAGACATGTATGATGTTTCCAACATACATATAAAAAAAAAAATCAAAAACGAAGAAAAATGACCTGTTAGCTGGATTGTTAACATACCGACAAGGGAAGAACTCTAGAAAGTCTGAAAAATGACACAATGGGACAAAAGAGGGAGAATAAGCAACTTATGTAGAAAAAATACCAAAAATGAATTTTTGTACCAGTCTAAGTGATTTGTAAACAGCATTTGAAATGGTTTTTCTTTAGCCTGGCCAAAAAAAAAAAAAAGAGGATAAATACAAAAACAAAACAATACAAACAACCCCCCAGCCCGAAGAATTTAAAAGAGATTACAAATACCTCAGAAGATAGTGTACATAGGTTTTTGGAAACTGTGTTTAAACTTTGGCAGCTCAAGCTAATACATGGTACAGCCGTGGGTGCTGTGTTTTTTTCTCGTTAGTGTCGTGGACTGGCTTAAAAGAATGTGGACAAAAGGCCACTGGTTATAATGGCCATAATGATCTGCACTTCGGACCTCTTACATCTTCACATGAAGCCAGAACTGAAAGACAGAATAAAAGAGACAGATTAAGACAAAAAAAAAAAAAAACAGCTCAAAATTCGCCATCAGTGCCGACGTTTGCTGAGCCATAAGGCATAAGCAGAAGAGTTCCACCCACTTCTTCCGGTCCTTGTCTTTCTTCCCGTTGACCGTGAAGCCCGGAGGCTGAAGCAGCGCAGCCGCAGTTTTTCTATTCCCGAAAGAAGTCAGGTCGATGTCCAGAAGACGCTTCTTCTCCTCGAGAGCTGCTTTCTCCTCCGCATGCAGACGCTTCAGCTGCTCGAAACGACCCTGCAGCTAAAACGCAATAAAAACAAACAACCCAGAAAACACATTTTAGAAACATTAGAAATGTGTAAATGGAACAAAAGTAAAATTGTTTTTTGTTTTTTTTTGTTCTTGACTGAAAAAACAAAAAGAAGCTTAATTTTATAAGCCAATTCATCAGGAGCACTTATCCAGTCGGCTTATGAGGCTTTTTCCTAATCTAAACAATCTAGCATCATTGTTCGGCTTGTGTTATGATTTTTGTTTAAACATTTAACCATTATTATCAGAAATTGTGCAAGTCTTTTGAATTGGTTGTTTCCCTAAAACAGAATCAGCTTTTAAAAATAACCCAGACATTTTTGACAGAGTTGCAAACAGGCCGACCAACGTACTTCATGTCAAGCTTTATCATTTCATTTCACAACTCAGTTCTGAAGTAACTACTTTTGCCCACGATTCAACCATTTAGCAGTTAAGCTGTGCTGAAGTCATACAAAGTAGAGGTAATCCTCCTTCATTACTCCACCCACTTTGTTCGATGAATCAGTATCACTTACAGCAAAAACACCCAACAGAATGATGCTGCCACTTCCGTACTTGACAGTAACATATTTTCTCCTTGAATCCTCCAAACAGCTCAATCTGTTTGGTCTGACATTCATAGAAATACAAAATGGAGTGTACATACATATACATGCTGGGTGATTTGTATTAAAGTCAACCCTATGGACCTAATGTTTTCCTATTATTTATCAAAGTTGCCTGTTGAAAAAACATTAGATTCTGCAAAAACAGTCTAAATGGGTCATTAAAAGCCCCACATTTATGTAACATTGATGACAAAATATTTGGTTACAACAACCCAAACCCAAAAGGTAAATAACAGATAGCTAGAATTATATTAATGGGCAGTCACGAAACATTAAAGACATTTTGCCAGGTATCGTATATTTACATACCTCCCTCTCAGCCTCCTTCAGCTCTGCTTCCTTCTCCTTCACCCTCTGCACAAAAACTTGCCTCATCTCGTCCTCCCTCTTCTGCAGCTCAGCCAGGAACTCCTGACGCTTGGCCTCATACGTCTGCTGTAAACTGTGAAAAACAAAATGTGTTTAGACTTTAGGTGCAATCGACGAGCTGGCTGCTGCAAGCAGGTGGAGGCGTTCTGGAGCGTGTGGGCCGCTCACCTGACAGGTTTGCACTCCGGATCCGTGTCCTTAAATCCCATCTCCTCTAATTTGCAGCGCCGGTAAAGCTCATAATGGCGTGTGTGGGTTTGCTCTCTCAAGTCTTCCATGTTTACACAAATGAGCATCTCCCTCAGTTTCACAAAGTCACAATGGTGCTCGTTTTCCACTAGGAGAAAAATGAAATTACTTTCGTTTGAGCCGGATTAGAACAGAAAACGGGTGGAATGACACAGTCTGTTCCGTTGTGGCTGAAATACAAATCCACACTGATTCTACCTTGAACAACGCCCCATGGATACTGGCGAGCTTTCACCATCTTATTGCCAACACACACTTCCTCTGTGCTGCCTACGACAGCAAATGGGAGATGGCCCTGAAAGAACGTAATAAATTCAATAAATTATTCGAAACAACAAACTGGACCCAGGTAAATTACTCACAAATGTACTGACTTACGTTCATAGTGGTGTTGACCTTTGCCACGGTCTCATCGTCAAGCGGGAACTGGTAGATCTGAACGCCGTTGCTGACCAGTTCGCTCATGATTTTGATCTTGAACTTGTGCAGCTCGCTCTTACTGATGGTGTCCGCCTTGGCAATGACTGGAATTATGTTCACCTGAAGCAAGAGAGGGAGAACATTGTGGATTAACAAAACAACATCAACAAAAAATATTCTTACTTTCTTTATGTTTTGCAATATTTACAATTTCTGAACAAGTCATTCCAGACAGTCGAAAAACTTCACAGAAATCAGAATCAAAGCAACACGTCACAGTAATGGGTTAAAATCAAGGAGCCTTAGTAAATCAAAGATAAATAATAGCATTTAAATAATGTAAAACCCACTGAATTTATTGAGGAGTTTTAGATTTTTGTTCTTAAGAAAACTGAAGAGAAAAAATGGTCTGTAAAATAAATAAAAAAAATCATATTTAGTTTTATTCCGTTTTGTCTACATAGAAACTCTGTTGGAGTCATAAGTAAACACAACTCAGAAAAACTCATGTGTCCCACTGCTTCAGGAGCCACAAGTGGCTCTTTAGACCATCTGCAGTGGCTCTTAGTGGTGCAGTGGGAAGATGTGATAAAGAGCCAGCTAATGTATTTAAATGAAGATTTAATAACAAATGCAGGTAAGCAGTTCATTAGCAGTTTATTCTATTGCAATAGACTAATTGGAATAAATATCCACAAAAAGAATGATTCTAAATGTACCAGTAACATTCTCTTGCATATTACTGGTTCTAATATGTAAACTTTGGAGGAAAAAATTATTTTTTATAGGATTTTCTACAAATATTCACCCAAGTTATTGAAAAGATGTTGGTATTTTTTTGTTTGGTTTAAAATCTAAAAACAGACATAAATGACGGATATTTAAATGCAAGAACACATTGTCTGTAGTAGATATTTATCAAAAATTATAAACTGTTTTTATTTCAAGTGGTTGTGTGACGTTTGCATCCCTAAACAAACCTTAATTAGCTGGACTGAAGGTAAAATGTCTTTCATTTACAAAAGGTTGCAGAACCCTGGCATAGATAAATAAAAGGAAAATATTAATACAGTATGTCCTAAATTTTCTCATCTGACTGTGATGAGTAATGAGTTAATGTCCAACTTATGAGTAGACCACTTTAACTACATGTAAACAAACTACCTTATTCATGGCTTGAGTTTAAACAAAACCTAAAAAAAAAAAAAAAGAATTCATGTCTCTTTTTAAATCTAAATCTGTTTTAAGATATGTGTAATATAAACCATGTTTTATATGTTATTTCAGGCCCACCCGTTCAATCACCCCACATTCCTCTCTGTCATCTCACCGTCCCATAGAGGGGCTTGGAATGGGTTTCTGCCACCGGGCGAGCTTCTGGGTCAGACCACACAGCCGTACACACACACATGCAGAACACACACTGCTCCCAGAGGAGAAAACAAAACGATGCTAGATCTGTTCCAACAGCTGTCTGAGTGACTGACTGACTGTCACTGCAGCAGACTCAACAATTGGCTCTGTGTGTATCCGTACAGTGACACAAAAGGACAACTCGAGTGTGTGTGCGTGACGTGGTTCCAGCATTCCCCTTTGCTCTTTCTATTCCTTTCACACGCAAATCCAGAGTTACTGCCACTCCGGAGCAACGAAACCACACAAAAACTCACAGACGCAGCTACACACACACACACAGAGACACACAGATGGAGAGAGAGCGGGGGGGAGTGAGCGAGAGCATGGGAAAGTTTCTGACCACTTCAAGAGGGATGGGGAGGGACAGAAAGGCTGATAGTGAAGCTCTCCCAACATTCACACAATAAAACCACCACAGCATAGTTTCTTCTGAAACCATTTCCTCTTTTCTCTGAGGCACATTGGTTCAACACAAGACCTCAGGAAGCATCATATTACAATTTAAATCTTTATATAAAAAGGTTTAGGTTTATTTATCTAAAGGAAATATGCAACAGACTGGCGACCTGTCCAGGGTGTACCCCGCCTCTCGCCCAGAACGTTAGCTGGAGATGGGCACCAGCAACCCTCCCGACCCCACTGAGGGACAAGAGTGTAAGAAAATGGATGGATGGATGGATGGAAGGAAATATTCATTCACCAGAAAATCTTGCTGTTAAACTGCTCACTGATTAAAACAAATACAGGGCTCCAGATGGATTTACTTAAATCAAGTTCAACAGCTGTTTCAGCTTTCATTTAAAGCCTTTTCATTTATTACTTTCCTCCAGAGTTTTGAATTTTATTACTCCTAACCATCTTTTTATTAAATATATAAAACATGTGTAGTTAAATAGATCATTTCACTGACAGTTTAACTAATTCGTGTTTACCAATGCATTTCTATCTCACTTTCTTTTTTTGTCCTACTACTAACATTAGGGGATCAAAAAAACAAACAAACACAAGGCTGCATTCGCCTGTAGCTTCAATATTAATTACCCCTCCTGCTCTTAGTGTTCTGAAGCCGAAACGATGAATTACTGAATGACAGGTGATATGATGCTCTCATCTTTTCAGATGGCGTTCATTATGGCGCCCATGGCTAAACAATCACTGGTTAATGGTCGCCTTCAATCACCGCAACATGTTTGTGTAATTTAATCTGCTGGAAAAACAGACCCTAGGCAACAGGAGATAAAAACGACTTCATTCCATCTCTGTAGCCTGAGATGTGGTTTTAGAGGAGTGACCACAGATTAGGCACAAAACACTTCCTGGAAAATCTTTCGGATTTCTACACACTTTTCCTTTCAAAATGTTACATTTTTAGACTTTCCGATATTGAGATATTAAACCTTATTTCTGGATTATTTTTTGTTAAAATTAAAAATTTAAGGTCCAAAATGTCAGACGCGTAAAATTTGGTTGTTTTCATCTACTTTGTTTGGAGATACTGGCTAAGCTTTTCTGTGCGTCAAACTCTCTTCTTACAGTTTGTTAGCTACACAACACAATGGTGTTGGGGTTTTTTTGTATTTGTTCATTTAAAAGCAAATCTCAAGTCAGTTCTATACAGGTCACTTTTTATTATCTTCTCTTGACTGAAGCAAACGGAGAACGTTCCGAACCGTGACTGAAACCAAGGTACACAAAAAAACATGACTTTTGTGTGCCATTACACTCCTAGATAAGGGGTGTCTTCTTCTTTTCTCTTGTTTTCCTTTTTTATTAAATTCTCTAATTTGTGTTCTATTTACCAATTCCAGCTGATCCACTCAGTTAATTAATTAATATAATACAGACATTTAATATAGTATAAAGATAGTATATCTAAATGTTGCTCCTTTCCTTTGCAACACTTATTTTTTCATTTTGGCTTTGAGTTGGATGAAATAAAAAACATCTCCTGCTAGACTCCTCTAGATCTAAACCTTTCTAGTGCCTAATTCGCAATAATTCATATCCAAGCTACTGCCTGTAGTGAAAGAAAGAAATGTCCAATCGCAATTACTGTAAGATTTGAACTTTAACAGAAATAACCTCAAGATTAAGCTTTCCCTAATGCCAATTTCTGTACTTTATGTCCTACCTTGCTGTCCAGCTTCTTCATTGTAACGAGGTCCAGGGATTTGAGCGAATGACCCGAGGGGGAGATGAAGTACAGGCAGGCATGCACTCGTGAGTCATGGTAGTTGTGCAAAGAGCGCTTGATTTTCAGCTCCTCCTGAAGGTAAGTCTCAAATTGCTTATCAATGTAATCCACCACCGGTTGATAGCTGCAGGACAAAACAACAAATATCAGTGTCAGTCTGCATACACAAGCTCAATCCCACTGTTACTACATTTAAGTGAAGTTATAATCCTTGAGTGAGAAACATCTTAGTTGAGACCCACAAACAGTTCTTAGTCAGACCTTTCTTGTTTGTTCATTTGGTCCCCAAAGCCGACGGTGTTGACCACAGTGAGACGGAGCCTGACGTTGCTCTCCTGCAGGTCGTAGGTCTGAGCCCGCAGCTTCACCTGAGGTTCAAAGTGGGACGACTCAAAGTTCTCAAAGTTGGTGTTAAACAGTGTGTCCATCAGTGTCGACTTGCCAATACCAGTCTCACCTGGAGGAAAAAAAATAAAGATTTTTCACTCTTTAAAATTGATGAATGTTTTTTTTAATATGATATGTATTCTCAACAATTTATATCATTAAATTAGGAAATTAAACAATTACTGGTAAATGTATGACTACAGCAGATAAATACGATAAAGTACCGATGCAGAGAATATTGAAGCAGAAGCCCTGACTGATGGACTTGTTGACAAGCTGATCTGGGAGACTGTCAAAGCCGACATGGCCAGCTAGGGACAAGGGCCGGGCTCCTTTATCCTGTAGAAAAAATTATACAGAAAAAGATCATTAAAAAGCTCATACAACTATGTCATCTCAAAAATTATATTTAGACATATTTGCACATATAGTCTGGTAATCGCCGCCTGCTGCAAAGTCACAATTTGAGTCCATATCTGCTCTCGCATCTGTGACAAAATGCCAAAGATAAAAATTTGACACATAAAAAAGGTCATTTGTAGCTAAATAATTGTCAAATCCATTAATAATGTACAATGTGAAAGCTAAAAGACAAAAAAGGCAAGTGCAACATCTAATCTACAACAGATGATCATTATTTAATATGGATGTCTCTAACACATAACAAAACAGTTATTGTAAAGTCAAACTGCGTAGCTGGTGACATTTAAATAAATGAAAAGAAAATTAATTTCTGGCTTGCAGCAAAACACCAAAACACACACACACACACAAAAAAAACACACACACAAGAATCAATACATTCCCCTAAAAACTGGCAAGTTAGCAAAGCTTTTAATAGTTTGATGTCAAAACATTATTGAATGTGACATAACCTACAGCAACCCATCAACTGATAATGTTATCAAGTAAAAAAAAATGTAAGAGTTGAATAGTTTTTGAAGTCACAGACATTATAATTTTGAGTTGTTAAAGTCAAATTAGTTAATTTGAGGCATATAAAGAGTTAAAATGAAAAACTACAGGTCACAGGAACATAAACGGTCATTTTAAAGTATGTGTATGCTTATTACATTTAAGGTATGTTGCAGTTTTTAAGATCCCTTTTAACATAAAAAAAATATCCACCATAGTGTTTTCATGTTTATAAAATATATTTCAAAATGCTGGCAGCTAGAAAACTTTGGTTTCCTTAAACAGTTGTCTTTGGCCTGAGACTCCTCCAGGACAAATTTCATTCAGAACTCTCTTTACACAGTTCTACTGCTTATACACATACGGTGACTAATAACTTTTTAAAAAGTTTGCAAATGTAAACTTTAGTTGATTTTTGTGTCATTGACTGTAATACGTCGCACTAAATGAATATCAATCAATATCTCGGAACATCAGTATTTGCCATTTGCTTACAATTCAGTGTTATGCTAACTAGCTAGCTCTTTACTTGATAAAAAAGGAAAAAGCGACAACTACTTTGTTGTAAAATAAATACAAATAAAAAGTTCAATGACCACTATATATGTTAAATTGTAGTATAACTACACTGGTATATAAGACACTGAACTTTCAAAAACTTCAGGAACGTTGTAATGTTAGCTTTAGCTAACTTAATGATAGCCGTAGGACACTCCCTGCTCAACTGTCAAGAACAATCTTCTTTAAAACGCAAAGTAAATGAATGCTCACCAGCTGTCGAGCTACATCCGAGGAAGCCATAATTTTAGCAGAACTTAAACAGCCTGAGCAAACTCACAATTATTTCAACAAAACTAAAACAAAGCAACTTTTCAACCCCTCAGATTCTTTTCCAGGAGCGACTACACTCGACAACTAGACAGGCGAGACCAATCAAAACAATGAGGGGATTTGAGTATGTTTTGTTGTGAAATGTTGAAATATTTCAGCTTTGCTGAAATATTTCTAATTCATTGCTATAATCTACTTTAAGATTATATTTAAATTAGATCTAAATATAATTATGCGCCAAAAATGTGAAATTACTTTATGAAATCAAGCGTATGCACCCCTTCTTGTAAAGTGGCACAGCCCAGCTTAATTTTCGCAGGCGCTCCCTGTTTCTGTGCGATGTTGAGAAAAAAAAATAGAATCTGACCTGAAATTTGCAGGTTAGACCTGAAAGAAAACAGTGAGTCAATATAAAAACAGTTAGCTGAATAATTACAATAACAATAGCAAAAATAACTTTTTAATAGATATTATTGTTGATATAGAAAAAAAAAACAAATAATTTTAAAAAGAAACAAACAAACAAGAAAACAGATTTAACACCCACCTCACAAAATGTGTGTGTGTGTTTTTAAACAAAATAATAAAATAATAATGGCTCAATTATACTGTTTGGTACATTTTCGGACTGAAGGTGCGTTTAAATTCATTTTCAGCTGACTATTTTTCAATTTTTGTCTTTGGTCTTTGATCCTGTTAAAATTGTTAATTTTATCTCTTCGTTTTGATTTTGTCATTTTTTTCCTTGTTATTTTTCTTGTATGTTTTTGCACTTTTTAACTATTTTATTTCTACTTTAAATACATTTATTTTTATTTTTATTCAAATTCTTTATTAATTCATTTCATTATTTACAAAATAACGCCTCTTGGTTGATTTTTCAAACAAAGGTGACCTGGTTTGGCATACTATTTTAATTTGTAGATATTAACAATTTATGTCCCTATTAATACAATTACGCCTATTGAAATGCATAAGATAAAAGTATGCTAAAATTATTAATCAAAATTAGTTGAACGTAGTTCGATGTTCTTTCTACTCGGTAAGGAATAATGTACCGTCTGTTCTTCTTTGCATTTATTTAAAAAAAAAAAAAAGCAACAGCAGACAGAACTTTCCCATTTGCTGGAAGCCTGATCTGCAAGGAGCACGCAAACGCAGCATTCTCCATGTATGTCCAAGCGCGCCCTCTATTGACCAGAGTTTGGCATACAGGTCCTAGCAATTTAAATGAGAGGGAGGAGGAGATGCTGTCATCCGCTGTGGCTGAATCGACAAAATTAGAAAGACCATGGGTGTATTTGGAAAATCTGTTATGCCGCTAATCCATTTGTAACTGCGGTCACTCGGAGACGTTCATGAGGACGATGGCGTCCCAGCAGTGCACGATGCAAGCCGTGCACGAGTTCCTGTTGGAGAAAGGAGGGAGGGTCCGACAGATGGAGCTGATCGATCATTTCACAGCTCCTTGTGGCTCTAATGACCCTCAGAAAGAAGGGGCGGGATGGGAGTTGCTGAGCGGCATTGTTGACAGCGTGGGTTTTGTGGAAGTGGAAAACGGGGTAAAATTTGTGTGCTTAAATGGCGAGGGCTGCGAGGAGTCGGTGATGCGTAAGGACGCAGACGGCCACGTTGATGCGGAGTGCAACGGGAACATCCAGGAGACGCTGGACAACAAACAAGTGAACGGCAACCCTGATGAGGACGGAGAACCAGCAGGTGAGGGGGACGCGACATTATTTAAATGCGCTTATTATTTATTTATTTTTGTTGTTTATGACCTCTAAATGCCTGGGTGATTGCTTATTTAACTTAGAGTTATTATTATTATTTTAAGCTCAGGAAAATGTAAAGCATTTGTTGAATATTTAAAATTAATCAAAATTTTCTCTATCAGTAAAAGCCTTGCAAAGAAATTAAAGGAATCATTCAAAGAATAAGAATCTCATTAAAATTTGTTCTCAGTGAGCTGCAAAAGCAATATCACTACTGTACCTTGTTACATTTATGACCATAAACTAAAACGTCTCTCATTGGGATCTAATGTGATGGAGCATTGCAATGTGGGGCAAACAGTATAAATTGGAAGGTTATGGTTTCACAAATAAAATTCTTAAAAGTGTTGTGAATTTTCCTTGACGCCATAGTACAAACATAGTACAAACAAATCAATTTGGATTGTTGAATATTTAAACTTAATTTGTAAAGTCTAGCGAAGATAAGTATAAATGCTTTGGATTTCTTGTTATATTTAAAATATATTATTAATCCAAGGGAAATTTGGTATTGTTGATAACTTTGTCCATTAAAGAATCTCCTGTAGTAGTCTCTGCTACAACGACACAGAAGAAGCTTCTGACTGCAGACACTGTTGTTGCTTTGCTGTATCATAAAGAGGATGCTTAAGGCTGTCAAATATATCTTTCATTTTATATAGCATTCCTTTTGTCAGCGGTACATCATCCAAAACAGAATATGGTACAGATGTCAACTTACAATAACAAGCTCACAATTAAGTGCATGAGGTTGTGGAAACGGCAAAAGAAACGGCACTGTGTGTGCAAGCCATTGTTTTTTTTTTCTCAGTTTAATAACACATTGTGATTGTCCTACAGAAGCATCAACCTCAACCAGTCTGGACAATGACTATCAGTCAAATGGCAATGAGCAACCTGCAGCACAGGCCCAGGGTAGCACCGAATCAGGTACTCCTACCACTGCTGGAGGAGGAGAGGTGAGGCTGAGGGACAGGAGGAGGCGAGAGTCTGCGCCAGCTATCGGGACACATGACCTAGACCAGGCCCATGCTGCTGGCTCCCACAACCATGTGGCGAGAGGGACGCGTCGGGTGTCTAAAGGATCCCAGCGAGCTATGCTGATCAGCTGCCTGTCTGAAGACAGCACACTGGAGGGGCTGGAGTCTGTGGGGGAAATACAAACACCGAAAGGAAGCCGCAGGAACTTCATAGAGCTGATGATGAGTAGCTCACCTCATGTGAGACATGCAGAAATAATGTTAACGTTTTACTGGTGTTGCATTCACTGTATTTGTATGTCTGAAATTAAAGCGTCTAAAGAGAACTTCCCATATGTGGCAGGTTCGGAGGTCTCTGATCAACCGTGGCTCACGCATCCGAGATTCTGTGCGGAGTGACGGCGACTCATCGTCTGTCCTCTCCTCGGCCACAGACGAGGACAGCTCTTCTGTCACCCTGGACCCCCTTGAGCACGAATGGATGCTCTGCGCCTCAGATGGCCTGTGGGAGAGCCTGCAACCCCTGTTGGCTGTCGAACCGAGTCTGGTTGCCAAAAGAGATTTTGTGACCGGCTTCACCTGCCTCCATTGGGCCGCGAAGCACGGCAAGGCTGAGCTGCTTTCCCAGCTGCTGGACTTTGCCAAGGAGAACACAATACCTGTAAATGTGAACGCAAGATCAAGTGCTGGCTACACGCCGCTACACCTGGCTGCCATGCATGGACACACACAGGTGGGTAGCAGGGAGTGGGGTATCATGTGTTGCACTGCCTTAGTGTAGCTAAGTGCAGCTGCACATAATTACCAACAGTCTATCTGCTCAGTTAGCCAGTGCCTTGGCTTGTAAGTGCAAACAGCACTTATAATGGCTTTCTTTCAGCAATGGGTTTCTTCTTGCCACCTCTAAGATGCTACGAATCTTTCCTGTAGAGTTACCATGTGACTCTTGGCCATTTTCTGATTAATCTTCTTGCCTGGCCTAGGTGGACAATCATATCTTGGTAAAGCTGCATTTGGGGCTTTACTCTTTACAATTTTGAATGCTGGATTTGAAGAGTGTCCAAATGTTGTTTAATGTTGTTTTTACCTTGACTTTGCTTTGAACTCAACTCCGGCTGACCTGTCAAATGTGTTCTTTGGTCTTCATGAGACCAATTTTCTCTAGCATAAAGAAGTGGACTCGATTTAGTAAGATGGGTGAATTCTGGAGTTACCAGACTTCATTGAAGTTGACTGAATACAAATACATGGCATCATTTATCATTTTTAATTGTGAAAGAAAAAAAAACATGTATCTATTTTTCCCTAGTTCAGTTATATGTGTTGGTCTATCCCAGTGACATGCACTGAAAGTTTGGGATTCTGATGTGAAAATGTTTGTAAAAATGGCAAGTGGTTGGAATACTTTTACAAGGACTAATGAAGATGTTTTACTGGCAGGTGGTTCGTGTGCTGCTCTCCGACTATGAAGCGGACCCTGAAGCTCGGGATTACAGCGGGAGGCGAGCCATCCAGTACCTCTCCCCGCTGCTGGCTGCTGACCTGGAAAGGGAGGGGTTGGTAACCTCACCTGGACCGGAGTCAGATACCGAAAACACCAATGGTGGCAGCAGCAGAACACGAGGCTGGAGGCTGCCCAAAGTCCTCCAGGGCAACCTGAAATCACTGCGACTGCTGACCTCACCGCCAGAGACGTCGGAGGAGTCAGAGAAGACCAAGGGGGGCTTGCAGAGGAAGTCGTCCCTGAGCCGGCTGAATGCCCGGCTGCATCGTGGGCGCCACCGAGCCCAGATCATCCACAGTGCCTCCTTCAGGGACACCGGGGAGGTAGGAAGAGAAGAAGAGCTGCCCAGGAGTCCTCTGAGAGCCAGACCTCTGTCCAACCTGTTTGGATAAAGTTCTACCAGCAATACAGAATGAGCTTCATACATTTAAAATGTATACTATAAATCTGACAGGTCAGATCTCAGAATAATAAGACACAGAACATTTTTTGTTTATATTGCAGAAATTAACAGAAATAATAAAAATATGTTGTCTTGAATGAGTTAATTTTGTTCATAATGCAGTGGTTTTTGTTGAGCACTATTGTGGCAGAGCACAGAACATGTAGCATTTTATTGCACTTGGCAATACTTTAACTAAAAACTGTTTTTGTTTTTCACCTTTTTTAAAAGGACTGTTTAGGACCTGCTGAGGCGCATCACACAATCCGACATTTTACACTGAAATTACTTTCCAGCAGGTTTATCTCAAAATGTAGAGAAATAAAAGCCATTTGGATCGACTCCACTGTATTCTCTAAAACTGTATCTCCGTTTTCAAAGTAATATATTTTTAGGGTGGAGTTTCT